CGAAGACCTTCATTGTTGGATTGTCGGCGCTGCGGTGCGTCTTTTACATGTACGCCGACTTTACATCTTAATTTGCTCATTTTTGCGTGCTGTGGCTTATACACTGTGCGGCTTATATTCCAAAAATTACAGTAAAACATTTATTGAACACCACTTTCTTAACAGGTAACAGACCCTTTAAGTGAACAATCACCACCGGTGTTAGAACAAACCTTTTTCTGGTCCATGCCTTTTTTTCTGAAGCATCTTCTGCTTCTTTTTCAATCTGTAAGAAAACAGGAAGAATTTCCATTTAATTTTCAGTGGCTAATTTCCAAATTCCAGTGATGGTTAAAAAATCAAATTTTACCAGAGGCTGTGACTCTCAAGGCCAAGGCTAAGGCCCAGGCTTTGACTCCCAAGCGCTAAGGCCAAGGCTCTGACTCTCAAGGCTAAGGCCTAGGCTCTGACTCTCAAGGCCAAGGCCCAGGTTTTGACTCCCAAGCACTAAGGCCAAGGCTCTGACCCTCAAGGCCAAGGCTCTGACTCTCAAGGCCAAGGCTCTGACTCTCAAGGCTAAAGCCTAGGCTCTGACTCTCAAGCTAGGCCAAGGCTAAGGCCCAGGTTTTGACTCCCAAGCGCTAAGGCCAAGGCTCTGACTCTCAAGGCTACGGCCTAGGCTCTGACTCTCAAGGCCAAGGCTAAGGCCCAGGCTCTGATTCTCAAGGCCAAGGCTAAAGCTTTGACCCCCAAGCACTAAGGCTTAACCCTCAAGGCCAAAGCCCTCGAGTATAAAATTAATACTAATACAGCATAGGTCTACCCACTAAAGAAACAAAACCCACATTACTATCTATTTTCTGGCCAAAAAAATTATCAGGGAAATTGTCGTTTTGGTATCAAGTTGTTTCAAAATTAAAACTTGATTAAAATCTGATAATGCGCCGTGGACATGATACTATTTCAAAGATGGATTTGTACCCGGGAGATACTAATTAATTTAGGATTTTTGCCCTGCCTGACGTGCATTTTAACACTGTATACTCAGTGTATGTCCCCAAAGGCTTGTGAAAAAACCACAAGCATACTCGGGTGGGCCTCAAACCCACGACCTCCTGCTTACTAGAGCAGATCTCTTAACCACTCAACCACCGAGCTTGCCGGTGTCAACTGGCTGGTTCGAAACACATTTAGCAGCAGGTACCGCGAACAACTATTTCAAAGATGGATTTACACTGGGGAGATGTAAATTAATTTTGGATTTTGGGCCCAACGCGTATTTTAACACTGCACACTGATTACATAAGACAACTGTTTTTCAATGTCCGATGAGATAACCGTAGGCATTCAAAATGCCATGTTTAACACACTAATACAGAAGATCATTGAAATGGCCAACAGAATGAGGATGAGTTTAATACAGGTCTGTTTTGTTGTTAAAATTTCTTGTTCTTACAATCAACAACTGAATTCTGAAATGGTTCAAAATGGTTACTGTTACCAAAGTAAATGCAAGAGGACTTTGTTATAAATTGATTGAAAAAGGACAATTTCAACTTCAGTTTTTTTCATCGAAACAAACTCACTACACAATTGAAACAACCACTGCCTTCTGAAATAAGGAAATGCACATTCTTCTGCCAATTTCATCAAGTATAGAATTAAAAAACAATCCAATGAATAAAGAACCCCAACAGCTGTGTGATAATTTGGGATTTAAATTTATATGTAAGATTGTTCAAACTTTCCTTTGACATAGTTATGCTACGTATGGTATTTGAAAATATCTCTGCATTGCAGAAAGAGCTTCAAATGATTTTTTAAGAAAACACTGTCAGTTTTAATTCAACACCCAAGTTTCTTTACTATTGCAACTACATGTATAAGTGAAGTATACGCATATTTGTGAAGTGATCTGGGAAAACCCTTCAAATGGTGAAATTTGTCAGTTCTTAGTTATATACATAGAATTAATGAAGACCCCTTGCTGTTGTCAAAATTGCTTTATTCGCGATGATTCCAGGATGTCTAAAAATAAGAGTTATGTTTTCACAATCAATTTCAAAATGCCAACAAATTATTGAGTTTGGTAAACCAATAAATGGAAGATTGCAAATGTTTCCATATAAAACAACAAAATTTTTATAACATTTTAAGAATGACAATTGAGACATCAAATGGCAGTAAAAGAACAGAATAAAAGACAATAGGCTTAGATATATTCCATAAAATATTGACTAAAAACTCAGTATTTGTTATTTGGAATAACAGACACAGACGAGGCCAGGAGTAAGAAAACTTCAAACAGAATGAATTGGCAGTTTTTAATCAGTGTTGTAGGTCTCGAGACCCAATCTCGGTCGCGAGACCGTCTCAAGACCTTTTTTGCGCCTAGTTCCATTTGCTAAAAATATGATTATCTGTAGTGGGCCCTCTGTACCCCATGATGTATAGTGGAACGGCCCCATGATCGTCCTTCATTTTCGGTATGAAACCATCTGAGCCAAAGTGGGGAGGATGGGAAGGAGCCGACTGTTTGGGGTAAGGATTCAATAGCACCCCCTCCCCCACACACACATCTGTGGGAGAGGAGACTTCTTTCATCCTATCCCAACCAGTCGCTCAATATGCAGAGTAGCACTGATCCCTGGAGGAGGTTAAGGCAAGGATGCACTATGTGAGGGGGAGAAGTGTGTAGTTAAATGCGAATATACAAATATAAGAGGCATGAAGCTATACCGTGGACTCACCAGACAAAGGAGTTGTTAGGTAGGTCCTGTGTCAGTCCGTCCCGATGAGGAGCCCCTTTGCGTCGATGTACACTAGCCAATGTCAGGACTGCCTAGCTGTGTGAGCAGTCTTTCCGTAGGACATCAGTGAGGTAGCATGAGGTAAATGTTGATGGGGTCCGCCAACATGCTGCCTTGCATATCTCCTCCATCGGGACACCCCAGAAGTAGACCCAGGGAAGTGGATACCACTTGTATGTCATGGGCCCTGATGAGGCATTGAGTCTGATCATTGGGAGGGAGTGTCCAGCCAGTAAGGATTGTTAAACTTGATGGCGGAGTCTACCCATCTGGCAATAGTATCTCTGGTTGCAGCCAGGTTGGGCTTTATCGTTGTGATGAAAAGCTGCGATCTCGTAACTCTCAGTTTTCTAGTTTTGGCTAAGTACCATTTGAGAGTTCTCACTGAGCACCACAGTTTCCCATCTAGAGTTCCAGCATGCTTGGTTATGTCCGGAACAAATAGATCAGGAGGGTGGAAGGAAGCCAACTGGTTCTTGGTGAGGAAACCCAGTACTGAAAAGAGGCATACATCATGGGGTTCCCATCTAATGTGGCCATCCGTGATGGACAGAGATTTCAATTCGCTGCCCCGACGTGAAGTGTTAACTACTAGTAGGAAGGTAAGCTTCACTATTGTGCGTAGTAAAAAGGCCTTGCCGAGGGACTTGGAGGACTGGCAAGCAGCTGGAGGACAGCTGATAAGTCCTAGGAAGGAACCAGTCATTTGGTAGAGGGTCACTCTACAAACCTTCCTTGGAAAAGATGTTTGAGCGCAACACTGCCTAACAGAGTTGAGCCATCAGGAAAACCATCATGCATGGCTGCAATGGCGGACTCGCAGGCCATCATCCTTATCTGAAGCATTTGTCGCCCAAGCTTCCGAGTGATGAAATCTGCTGCAGAATACCTGCAGCTGAGCATTCTCTGCCAGGGGGAAGATGTTGGGCGTTTAGACTGTTGTACAGAAAAGAGGAACTTGCGGTCTCAAGGGTGGATCAGAATGTGGAGATAGGCATCTTTCAGGTCTATCAACGATGCCCAAGAAGGAATGGGGAGAGACTGGGTTACCATCCAAAGTGTATCCATGCAGAAGTTCCTTGGGCAGATGAATTTGTTTAGAGGTTTGAGGTTTATTATGCATCTCCACTTGCCCGGTTTCTTCTAAGGGTTGAGGAAGAAAATGAAGTCCTCATCCTGAAGTGACATGGGGACAGGGCAGATGACTCATTTCTGAAGGAGAGCATCCATTTTGGACAACAGTACCTCTCGCTTTGGACGGACAGACGGGTACTCGTGAATTCTAGGGAGTATCTGAGGGAGACAGTCGTGAGCACCCACATGTCCAATGTGATGTCTCTCCAGAGTTTCTATAACAGTTTCAGTGAAGAGACCCTTGCCGTAAAGCGAGAGATCCTGGAGTTTTGACTTGACTCCCTCAAAGGGTATATTCATGGAGCAGAGCATGGTGGATCTTCACGCGGACATAGCCAGTGTGGAGATCCGTGTAGCCAGTGTGGAGATACACAGAGTATGGTCGCCATCACTTCGAGTCAGTGAGGACTTTCAACATCTTGGAGCACGAGCGATACAGTGGTAATTCCCCGAAGAGGGGCATTGAAGCCTGTAGTCCAGCAGTGTAGCACTTAAAGGAGGCATGTGATTGGGGTTCAGCCACGGCAGAAGTAGAGGGGAGGCCCAATATATGGATCATATCCCTCTTAAGAAGATGGCGACGTGCCTCCAAGGGTGTGAGGTTTGCTGCAGATGTGATATCTTCGTCTTCAGACGATATGCCCTGCTCGGTTTGCAACTGGTCCAGGGAGTGGGAAGGATCACGTCCAGCATCGCGTTCAGGGTCCATTACGGGGTGCAAATTGTGTTTGCATCCAGTACCTGAGCTGGTAGAGGGAGCGTAATTGCTCTGAGTAGGCCGGATTGAAGGAGGCGGATGCGGGTAGGGGTCCAAAGGTAGTGGGTTGAGGTCTGGAGCAGTTGCTAGAGGTGTAGGCTTTGGATCGAGGCAGCTGACTATGGAGGAGAGAATTTCCGAGAAAGACCAAACTGCCATCATATCTACAGAAGAAACCTCTTCTCCAGTTGAAAAGCATGCTCCTTGCATTTGGTCCCGGTGCAAGAAGACAAGGAATGTTGAAGTGACATACAGCGTGCGGAAGCCTTTGTGGTGAAGCAGGCCGGTAGTTTCTACTGCCTGTGTTGCGGTCTGCATTGTGCCTGCGTGGCCCGGCACTGTCTCCACCGGTGCCGCTCCAGATAACAATGGGGGAGCGGTCCAGTAGGGTGTAGTGTCTACTTCACGCCTGGATGCCCCCAATGAAAGAGCATCTGAAGGCAGTGGCTCAAGGCAAGGGCGATCAGTGTGGCTGGCATGGGCAGCGTGGGGCCATCCTTCTGCAAGCCTTCTTAAGCCATGCCGGTGGAGAGGTGTATTCTTCGGTAGGCGTTGTAATGTCGACCACTACAATGGAGATCATCACCCGGTAGTTACACTAAGGGAGCTGAACGCTTGGATTGTATGCACTACAGCTTTATCCCCTGTGTGTGGTGGTTAGTTAACCCCGAACTGACCAGGACTTGTGCTGACAGATGGGTATGAGCACGGATATCATAAGGTATATGAGCTTCATCAAACTGCAGACCAACTCCTGTCAGTCCTAGGGGAAAGTGGGGCCCCCTCAACACGTTAAGCCCCCGACAACCCAGTTTACCATATACATGTATATATATATACATGTATAAAACACACACACACACATACCAAAACAATTACTTACCTTACATACCTAGTGTGGACATTCCTTTCTTTTCGTACTCAGTGAAAATACTTGTTTTTCTTGAACTGGGAACACGATTTTCAGCTGGCTTTTTGTATAAGGTTTCCTTAACTACTTCTCTTCCTTTTGCAATGATGACCCCTACCCCAAAATGCCTCTGAACTTCTTTTTCAGAGAAGGAGAAACATCCTGTGGACATGTGTAAGTGCACAGAACATCTTCCTTTCCTACAAGTCCACACTAGGTATGTAAGGTTAGCGTATATCATCACACACACACACACCTGTTTCACATACAAAGTGTGGACTTTACTTTGTTCTCCTGTGGTAAAAGAAACTTGAGGAAAATGCTTCTTTTCTCTAACTAGGATAATTCCTTCAAGCTGGATTTTTGATGGTGATTCCTCTTCATTTTGCCACAGAAAACCTTGACTCCAAAATGCCTTTGAAACTGTTTTTTAGAGAGGGGGAAACATTGTGTGGACGTGTGCGAGTCCACACTACGCCATCGCACCCTACATTATGTGGACTTCTTTTGTGCAGAGGTCCACACTTTGCATGGCACGCCTGCACACACATGTACATATACATATAGAGAGAGAGGCCTATCACTAGGTGGTTCAAGCTTCATAGAATCAACGTTAAGAAACCTCTGAGCATACACTCACAAAGAGAGAGAAAACACCACACAAAAACAACAAATATCACACATCTGAAAAATTACATCAATATTTAGAAAGTTTATTATACGTCAAAGTTAATCAAGATACCACAGGAACGTGGAGAAAAACAGAAACTCGAAGGATTTGAAAATGCCAAGAATGACACATCCGTTATCAAGTTTTTAGTGAATAGAACTAGGCGCAAAGGAAATTTGCATATTTTGCTACTGTTGAGCAACCATTTGGGGTAGAATGAAAGCAGAAGACCTAACATTAAAATTAACATTACAATGCACATGCTCCTCTATCTATCGGTCTAAGTTTCTTATCCATAGTTCTTGTCCTACTGCTTCCTATTTTTGTGCATTTCTCCCTTAGTCCACATGTTACAGAACCACTTTACGCACAAAGATGGCTTCGTATATTCAAGACTAAATAATCTAAAAAATATACAAATCTGGTAATCATGATGGCATCTGAAATGACACAAGTTCCAAGTTTCATATCCGTGTTTGCTGTAGTTAGGGAAATATCCCTGAAAGAAGGCAAGGGTTCTTGTCCTACTTCTTCTTATTTTTATGCAATTCTCTCTTAGTCCACGTGATAGGGCCTCTTAACGTGCAAAGATGGCTTCGTATATTTTTGCCCTAATAGTCTGACGTTTGTCCAAATCTGGTAATCATGGTGGCATGTGTTCCTCTATCTGAGTAAATTTCATATCCATAACTGCTGTAGTTAGAGAAATATCCATGAAAAAAGGCAAGAGTTCTTGTCCTCCTGCTTCTAATAATGGGCAATTCTCCCCTTTGTCCTCCTGCTACGCATATTATGCAATTCCCCCTTTGTCCTCCTGCCTCTCATATTGTACAATTCTTCCTTTGTCATCCTGCCTCTCATATTGTGCAATTCTCCCTTTGTCTTCCTGCCTCTCATATTGTGCCATTCTCCCTTTGTCATCCTGCTTCTCATATTGTGCCATTCCCCCTTTGTCATCCTGCCTCTCATATTGTGCAATTCTCCCTTTGTCATCCTGCTTCTCATATTGTGCCATTCCCCCTTTGTCATCCTGCCTCTCATATTGTGCAATTCTCCCTTTGTCATCCTGCTTCTTATATT